TGCTTTAGCATAGCATAGGAAAAGAGACAAAAACATATGGACAACAAACATGGCACTAAAGGAAATACAAGGAACACCCTTTTGCAAGGGCTACCCTTTTGCAAGGGGCAGGGTAGAGACAAACACATTCCCAGACTCCAAAACCATGTCAAAAACCAACCACAAAATCAATATAAAATATTGATTTTGGAGGCTTCAAAATCAATATAAAATATTGATTTTGGAGGCTTCAAAATCAATATAAAAATAGAGGGAAATGAGTATAAAAATCAAAGTGGATATCAATAGAAAGAGGCATTTGGTCCAACTTTTTATATTGATTTTGAAGCTTCAAAAGAATTAGTTTTATATTGATATTTATTTTGATTTTTTAGTAAAATCAATATCGATATTTTTTTTGGAAAAAATATTGATTGTAATCAATATCGGATGCTCAGGGTGGTTTCATCATGTTTCATCCCCATCCAGCATGCTTTCTTGGGGGGTCCATGGTGGCACGCCTCCACCTGGTTTTCCATGTGGGGCAACCACTTCTTCACCTGCGGAGAGTTGAAGCTGTCCCAAATGGATGTAATAGTATTTATTTATGGTTAAAGCCCATTAAATCACCATTAAAATGACGATTAGATATATGATATATGCATAATTATATGTATATATATATATATCTGTGTGATCAGTATCTATCATATCTGGGTCATTTGTAATGATTCACTAACTTGAAAGTCGTTCGGTGATTTGGGGATGATTTCCCTAACCGTGATTCCAGTTGGGCCGCAGTGAGATCGTTATAATTTACCCAGATGCATGGAAAATCAAGGAATAATTAGAGAAGCAAACAAATAAAATAAACAAAAAACAAACAAATGAATACATAAATAAATGAAAACAGAAATGAGGATACATATCACATGACAATAGATGTGTTTTACGTCCTGTTGAATGTATATAATTATATACTGAGGACACAAGATGAAATCCGAACAGCAAGGGCGGAGTATCGCAGCATCGGCGGTTCAATTGGTGACCCATGGTGATGCTTCTTTGACCCGCCCGAGTGGTCCATCATTGTACAACATCACCGAGTTCAGACACGGAGTGACAGCCCCGGTTGAACCGTTCACTATTGTTTAGTAGGAAGTGAAACCACATATTCGAAACATGTTGAAACCATCTCGAGGGGGGGTTATGAACTGGGGATGGTTTTGTTGGGATGCCAAATCATCATCTAGGCTGTCGGTCTTTTGTTGGGAAGCCTGCCAAATTTCACAATGTCAGCTGTAGGTACTGTTGATCCCCCATAACGGAAAGCATTGAAAAAGAGTAGCCTCTGGTAAACTAACATAACTATGGAAATCACCGTTTTTCATAGGAAAATTCACTATAAATGGTGATTTTCCATAGTTATGTTAGTCATTACCAGAGGGTAGCCCATGAAACCATCATTCACCAAGATTTCTTCATATTTCAGATGGTTGAATCCTCATATTTCGGTCTGCTTGTCCGCCGTGATGACCAAGATTTGCCCACGAGAAAAGATCAACCAAGTCTTACGCGGCAATAGGCACCCATGAATTCACAACATCAAGGGATTTTGCAAACATCTGGCATAGCATTTAAATGATTTTACATATCTTGTGGTTGTATCACTATTTTGGGGACAAATAGAGTCATAAAACTAAAACAATGTTGCCACTGGCCAACTTGGATGATTTGGGGCGGCTCTGGGAGCACAGCAGAGTTGTATGCCCAGCCAGCGGTCTGAGAGGTGAAAAAAACTCATTTCAGTGATATATAACCAACAACCAACCTTAGGTGCAGGAGCTAGTTCATCCCATTTATAACTGGCTTACAGGGCCATAACTATCATAACTTTGATTCAAGTTGTGGATTTCCCAAGAACCTTTAAAAACAACAGCATCTCAGAAAAGCCGCCGAGGTCGTGCCCCAATAACTCAAAGATTTCACTTGGGTTTGTGTTAGATATTGGATATACCAAACTAATGGGGATTCTAACCAACTTCTAAGTCGACACACTTGGTACTTCTGTGGAAAGTGTGATATCCAGCCCCATCCTCCCAGCATTTTCATTTCCGACATCTTTTAGACGGCTTGGCAAAACTTGGATGCGTTGAATTTGTCCAAGAGCTGCAGCCATCCACGATGTTCTTCTCGATCTTCTGCACAGACTCCCGGCTGGTCAAACTTGTCAACAAAATGCAGCCAGCGAATGCAAAATTCCCGATTTGAGTCACAGACTCTGGGATGGTCAAACTTGTCAAAGAGGTGCGGTCAGCGAATGCAACATTCCCAATTTGAGTCACAGAGTCTGGGATGGTCAAACTCGTCAAAGAGGTGCAGTCACGAAAAGCAGAATTTCCAATGTAAATCACAGATTCCGGGATGGTTACGCCTGTCAACGAGCTGCAATTTGCAAAAGCATCATGTCCAATTCGAGTCACAGACTCCGGGATGATCAAAGTCGTCAAAGAGCTGCAGTCACGAAAAGCAGCTTCCCCAATTTGAGTCACAGACTCTGGGATGGTCAAACTTGTCAAAGAGGTGCAGTCACGAAAAGCACCTTCCCCAATTTGAGTCACAGACTCTGGGATGGTCAAACTTGTCAACGAGCTGCAATTTGCAAAAGCACCATCGCCAATTCTAGTCACAGACTCTGGGATGGCCAAACTTGTCAACGATCTGCAATTTGCAAAAGCACCATCGCCAATTCTAGTCACAGACTCCGGGATGGTTAAGCCTTTCAACGAGCTGCAATCACGAAAAGCACTATCTCCAATTGCAGTCACAGACTCCGGGATGACGAGTCGCAACAAGCAACGGCATCCTGTAAAGGCAAAGGGACAGATGCATGTTTCAGTGCTGGGGATGCATACGTCACGCACCTCCTCCACTTTGCAGCGAGATCCGCTGGCACACTCAAGTGCCGGCTTGACGTAGAAGACAACCTGCAGCCAGGTTCAAAACATGTTATAATATACATATATATATATATATACATATATGTATATATGTATATATATATATATACGGTCGTCCATCCCAGAATGGGAATTCTATAGCTATGACAATTGATCACCATCCCCCAAGAACTGGGCTCGGCTTAGGCTTGCAGCGGCGTTGGAATCACCATCTCAAGAGGTTTAATCACCACAGGGTAGCTATAGATTGGTGTGGGCGTGCCCCGACGTACCAAAAAAAACAGTCTGAGGCGCGTGCGTGCGCGGGGCCCATCAAGAAAGGACAGTTTTTTTTCTAAACGGATAAGGAAACCATCTGATTGAGTAATTTTATAAAATACTGGCTGAGGGCATGGCATGCACCGATTTCGGGCCATTTTGTTCAGTCCAAAAACCAACAACACCGATTGGGGTAGATCATATGCCAGAAAACTGGTGTGCAGGAAGTGCGCGGCATGTTTGAAGAACGTGTTTGGTCAACATTCCTTCCTTTTAATATAGTTGAACGGTTTTGAGTATATGGCTTTCTTTTTTTGTTCGATTTTAGGGTTCTCTGCAAATTCTCAAACAGGGGTCCCCTACAAATATTGTCCCTCTACAAAATCCAGGTTCTCTCGAAAATCCCAAACAAGGGTTACTTAAGTGCAACCTAAAAAAGTACCCTTTAAAACGCCTGCCAAAATCACAAACACGGGTCAGATGCGCACTTTACCGCTGCCCCAAAATGTCCCTCTACAAAATCGCAAACCTGAGGGTCATGCTCATATACCCAAGAAAAGCTCACTAAAACTACAAAATCCCTTTGTACAACCGCTAGCGCTTGGGATTTTGTAGAGGAAACTTGTCGCTATAACTAATCTCGACCCCCTATTAACTTGAATAAAGGCGTCCCTAATAAAAAGAATGCCGGCGCTCGGGGCCAATTTTTTGAATTGTTTTTCCATTCCGCCTATTGAAAACCAATACTACATGCGCCGAGAATAAATTAACACGCCTCGGCAGGCTTATTAGGGGACATCCCAGAAGCAATCGAACTTTTCTGGCTGTGACTGCTTTCGTTGAGAATGGAGAATGGCTGGGCTGCGGAGCCTGCGCGGGATTCGGGTTCGTAACGAATATCATGCTAAACATTGCTCCAATTGGGGGAACAGCCACAAGATTGTAGCCATCATAGTTGGGTAGACATTTTAAATGCGAATTGTCATTGCTATTTGTCCGTCCAACAGCATCAGTTCTTGGAAAAAGGGACTTGCTACTCAACTAGTGGCAAGTTTCTTCGGAGTAAAATGTTGATGAGGTGTAAAAATACAAAATACAGGACACGCACAGGCACCCTAGTCTTCAAACTCAAATCAGCTGTAATATCCATTAATACTACTCCTACTAGTAAGTTTAAGCATCGAAATCCATACCAGACCCAAATACAAAATCTATCCAAATCACGGTGATTTTATCAAGTCAACCATATTTGTTGGGCCTTGGTGGGCCGTCTTTTGAGATTGCACCAATGATGGAGTCCTCTCTGACCATGTCGTGGTCCAGCCTTTCAGCACGAAGCACACGCAGTCCAGCCATTTCTTCAGAAATGGATCCTTCACACCGGATGCACCTGGCGATCACTGACAGTCACCAGGTTGAGAAGCCTTGCAGCATTATACCAAGTAAGGAAGGATAGTGACCCAGGGATTGCATAGTAATTATATCCCATGTCCCAGACACAACATGCTTCCAATGACTCGAATAGTGACAGGGATGCACATTGAAACAGCAGGTCTGATTCTTCCAAGATGTCAAATGCTCCGTCAAAGGAAAATGCTTGCACCGGGCAAATCTTTTCAGCAGCTCCCTGCTGACAAGAGTGTCTACTACCATGCGGTTTGCCTGTCTGCACAAGAGGCTTATCTGACTCTACACAAGAGGCTTATCTGACGCTACTGCCGTGTCTAATCCTCTGACTGGAAAAGCTCGGGCTGTGTTTTCACCAAGTGTTTCACTGTCTTGGCTGGGTTACAGGCCAAGCAGCCTGACTTCAGCATACTGCATTTCGAGCAACCAAACAAAATCCCTTCTGTCTTTGCGGGCTCATCTGGCACACATGGCGGCGGCGGCGTGTCTGGAGGTGGCAAGGGAGGCATGTCTGTGTTCACTGGCTTGTCTCTCTCTGCTGCCTTCGCTTCCATCAAGTGCCGCTGCTGCAACAGCTTGGCGATCCATTCCATGAGCCTGACTGCCAGCTCACGTCCTGAGCTGACGTAGGGAAGTTGCCCCACTTTCATGAAATCCCTGGACTGTCTCTCACACCATTGTAGGCAAAGCAAGCCGCAGGAGACCAAGCCATCTGACTGAAACGTGCGGTTCTGACGGGCTGGCGCTCGCAGATCTGCTCTGACAAAGCTCAGTGCCTGCACAGCCGCCTCCACTGCAGTGTCTGCCTGCTTTTCCAAGGTGTCGACATAGGTCACATGCACTGTCTGCTGTGACTTGTGAAGGCAGAGCAAGGTCCAAAGCTGAGGGTTCTGGGTGTAGCAACGAATTCGCCTGACTGGCCTGATGCGACAAGGGGACCACCGTGGCTTTGAAATATTGACCCGAATTATTTCATGCCATGCCAGGAAAGGGTCTCGTGGCTTCAACAATAAAAGCTATTCCTGCCACCCCTAGATCTACTACTACTACTACAACAACTACTACTACTACTACAACAACAACAACAACTACTACTACTACTACTACTACTACTACTACTACAACAACTACTACTACTACTACTACCCAAAAGCTCTGGTTAGGCTAAATTCTATCTATTAGGTTATATCTTGTTTTCTGACTATTGGTTAAATTTTGTTTTTACCTATTAGGTAAAACAACTGTTTTACCTAATAGTCAGAATGATCAAATAACATTTTTTCTTTAGGTTATTTATATGAATAACCATTTTTTCTTATAGGTTATTTATATGAATAACCTGTTTTGGTACTCTTTTTTGGGGACACTTTGTTTTCTTTATATATATATATATATATATTTAAAAAAAATCTATCTATATTGCAATCTCCAATGAAACATTGTTTGATTTGATACATTTTTCCGATAAAATGATGCTGAAAAAACTACATACAAAAGAAAACCAGAAAACATATTTTTTGGATGGGACAAACCAACACAGGATAGAAACAGAAAACACATGTCAACAAATAAATATATTGTATATACATGGATATGTCTCAAAACGAGGTGTCTTTTTTTGGTTCCAAAAAGGGTTCTTTGAGAGGAAAAAAGGACACCTCATTTTGAGACAACCCCCCCCCACACACACACTTTTATATATATATATGTATGTATTTAAAAAAAAAAAACATAAATTTACACACACACATATATATACTACATATATATATATACATACATATACACATACATATATATATACACATATAATCATATATACATATACTACATATATATATATATATATAAACTGAATGAATAAATAGATAAATAAATAAATAAATAAATAACTATATATAAATAAAAAGTCATGTTTTGCAAAAATCAGCAAATATTTTTTTCGGAACGCGAGGCCACCGAAGGACAGAACCAAAAAACATATAAAACATAAAAATAGATTTAATGTTCAGTTCAAGAAAAGAACAAGTAAATCAAAAACTCACATAGCCAACAACCCAAAATAAGAAGCTCAAAAACTGTGAGACATACGATTCAACAAGCAATTTGCCAGCTGCATTGTATTTGGAAAACACGAATTCATGTGAGTTCATGGGTGCTCATGCGCGCTCAAGTGCTCATGGGTGTCCATGGATGTTCATGGTTGTTCATGCGTGTGTATGGGTCTTCATGTGTTTTTGTTTGTTTGTCGTTTTGTTTTGCTGCCATCCACTTTCTTTCAACTAAAAAAATTGAGATGGAGGTCCCAGCCCTGGGCTGATTTCTTTCTTGAATTATCTGCAATCCAAGGGTTTGAAAGGGCCTTTTTTGAATTCAGTTCGGGCAGCAGTAGTTTTGTAAAAACAAACTGTCAAGACTGGATGGCCTTTCATTTGTCAAAAAGCAATGGTCGGCAAAAAAAAGAAGAAAGTCCTGGTGAGGATTGGTTGTATTCAATTTTTTTTGCAAAAACTAAACGGCCAATCCAGCCCAGACTTGATTAATCACTAAAGGGCCTCCAGCCCTCGATATCAGAAAACCAACACAAAGATTAACAATCACCTGGGGCTCTCCATCCTTGACATTTATGCCAAAAAAAAACGATTAAAAACAAACAATGACTTGGGTTGCTCAGCATTCACATTTTCTACACAGCCAAACCTGGAATTTGCCATTAAATTTTGGGTTTTGCAGTTTTCAGATTCATG